CACACCTGTGAAATGTGCAATAGTTTCCTCCTGAGAGTGGGCAGCTCCAATGACTTGCTCTTTTTCTTTTGTTTTGTTTTGTTTGGTTTGGTTTGGTTTCCTTTCCTTTCCTTTCCTTTTGTTTTGTTTCTTTCCAGTACTAGGGATTGAAATCAGAGATTTCTCAGTGAGATACATCTCCAGGCCTTTTTTATTTTAATTTTTTTTTATTTGGAGGCAAATTATCCCCAAGTCACTAAGTTTCTCTAGTTGCACTAGAAATTGCAATCCTGCTGTCTCAGCCTTCTCGAGTGCTAGAATGAGAGGCACGTGCCACGGATTTCTTTTTATTATCCCAAAATATTATGATCCTGAGTAGCATCTCCATTTTCCAATGGCCCAGGAGCCATCTACTGGTCCTAAACCATCCTGGTCCACTGCAACATACTGTATCCCACCCTCTTTGCATATGGTGATGCAAAGAAATTAACAGTGAGTTGCTCACTAGATGACAGGCTGCAGTGCACAGATGAGACCCAAAGCCAGAGCAGGATGCTGCCCTGGGTTATGTTGCCATCACATAGCAACTGGTGTGAACACACAGCCATTTACCATATGCAACCTGCAGGAAAACAACCTCCCCAAAACCACACTTCAATGGCTTATTAGAAAAAGCTGCTCTTTCACACTTCTTAGAATCTAGACTGAGGGATAAATGCATCACTTGGATAGGAACAATAAGTTTTTGTGATTTTCCCACTGGAATGCTGGGATGGAAGACTTTGAAATTGTTCCCTCTTAAGGGTCTGAGCTGGTGACAGAGCTGGTTTCCTGTCTGGTGTCAGGACAGGCTGGTGGTACTTACTACCTTCCCTGCACCTTATGCTTTCACACAGCACAGACCTTAGCGGCAGGGTTCCAGGTTAAGAACCGGAAAGCACCAGGAACATGTGTGAAGGTGAGAAAGCCACTGACACTGGCTGAGTCTTGCTTTCCTCACCTGGGAGCTGGAGGTTTCGCCCTCTCTAGCAGGTTCTGAGTAAAGCAATAGTTACCCTCCCTGCAGCTTCACCTTCACCTATGGCAGAGCTGAGAAAGAGGATGTGTGGAAGCGCTGGACAACAGCAGCACAGTGCGGATGTGGAAGCCATGCCACTGCAGGGCTATGAGTCTAACATCTTCCCCAGGCAGCCTCTTGGTCTCCCTTTAGCTGGAAAAGTAGACAGCAGGAGGCTGAGTGGAAAGTCCAGTAGACAGCAAACCAGCTCCTATTGGTAGTTTAGGACAGCAACTAGCTCCCTGGGCTTTGGGGAGGCACCCCTGGCCCTCAGATGGGCGGGGAACCAAGCAGGAAAGATCTGGTGAGTCCAGTTGGGTTTGGGGTAAAAGCAAGTTGTCTGTGAGCCTGTGGGTACAGATGGAGCTGGCTCACCTCAAACCTACAGATGCAGCCTTGCCTGCCCCTCACCCAGTTCACCACATAGCAGTGAGCAGGACTGAGCCAATCTGCCAGGGAAACCTTGGCAGGTGGTGGGGAGCACCTGTGTGCAGCTCCAGACCAATGCAGCAATGCCCAGGGAGCAGGAAGTGTGAAATTACATGTGGGAGATTACCCAAGAGGATCGCACCCATTGTGCTAGGCTTTCCCCAATGCTGACTTCAGAGCCACAAACTGACACACATGCCCCAACATAAGGGAAAGGAGTCCTTCCAACAGTGAATGGGGGACATGAAAGTGGGCCCTTCCCCAGGGAGGCACCTGCTGAGAGCCTAATCCTTGCAGGCAAAGTGATTGCAGCCTCCTACAGTTGCCCAGTGAGTCCCAGAGGGCTTATTACAGTAAGACACATTGCTGCAAATCCCCTCAGGCTACTCCCTCTCCCCTCAAATGCACTGGTTCAGTCTCAAGCAGCTCTGGCATTCTCCCACGTGTCTGTAGTTGCACTTTTCTGGTTGCCTTGATGTCCTGAATGGATTCAAAACGTTGACTGTTCATGGCTCTTTTGTCTCCAGGGAAGAGCCAGGAGTTGCACGGTGCCCGATACAGTGCAATGGTGGCTGAGGAGGCACCGTCCTGGTTTTCTGAGCCTGCCTTTCTGTTGGATGGCCCTCGGCAGCAGCATTGAACATATTTTCTTTTATCACATCTCCTAAAACCACTCACTAGACAGGAATCCACTGCTTTAGAAAGTGGCAAGGAGGATGGGACGATTGTGTTCAAAGTGAGGGGAAGATTTTGAGAGGAAATTAATGGCATGTGTCTTTTAGCATAAAAACTTCTAAAATTTAGGCACTGACCACATGTTTCGGTCACCCCTGGGATTTTCCACTTAGCTGGGGTCTCACTGGGGTGCTGGAAGCCCTGCTCCTTGCCCCACGTGCAGACTAACGCATGCACACACAGGTATCCGGTGTTCTTATAGCAGCAGACTCAGGTCATGGAGTGCTCAGGTGTAGACAGACCTGCCAGGCAGCTGTCCACAGTCCTGGTATCAACTTTCACCTTTGCGGCACAGCCTTCCCCATGCATTCCCCACCTTCATCACGGAAGCCATTCCAACAGTTCTTAGCCTAAGCCCTACATTTCCTCCCCATTCCTCTCATTTTTGTGGAAGCTCCAGACAGCAGTGAAGAGGTAAAAGCCCTGTGTCTTAGTCAACACTCTCAATGGAAAAAGAACAAAAAAGTTGTCTGACCCACAAGAGCTGGTGCCTCAGTTCACATTCAAAGACCACAAAATCGTACAGGTCAAAGCTGTCAGGAAGAGAAGTCCTGGTTTTGGCACAGAAGGATCAGCCTTTTTTCCTCTATGCAGGACTTCAGCTGAGTGTCTGGGGCCCGTTCACAGGCCCCAGGCCACAGTTCAGTTATCAATCTCATTCAAAAACTGCATCACAGACACACTCAGAATAGTATTTGATCAGCAATCTGGGTACTCTATGGTCAAGCCAAATTAACACATAAAATTAGCCATTGTACTTTGAAAGTTTGTCACCTGGTCTGCAGCCATTCCCTTAACTGCTGTGTTGTATTCCCTTATGTGCACACATTTTATATAAATAAAACAAATATATATATATATATTTTTTTTATATAAATAAAACATATATATTTTTTTTATATAATACAATATTTGTATATATATATTTAATATTATGCTGGTGAGTTTCGGCTATACTGATATTTTTGGCTAGGGATTCATCATCTTTGATGCTGTATTGTATTTCATTGTGTGACTACACGGACATTGGTTCATTCAGTTACCAAGCATCAGGGTAATTTCTCCTTGGAATGGCCGACTGAGGTTTCCACTATGAATGTTTAGGTTTCTGCACATGATGCAAAGGTATCTTTTTACGCATCTCCTTTCACATATGTGTGCATTATTTCTTCTAGGAAGCCACGATCAAACACTGATCTACATGGATAATCAGGAGAGTGAAAAGGATACAAGCAGAACACTGCCTTCTTTACCCACTATCCATGATCTCTTCCATTTTCTGTCTTTCTACCCCCACCACATTACTTTATGTATTAGTTACCTTCTTGTCTCTGAGACATAGCACCTGGCACCCACAGCTGAAAGGACGAGAGGTATATTTTGACTCATGGTGTGTGGAGGTTTCAGTCCACAGTCGGCTGGTTCTGAGGCAAGCTTGCAGAGGGTTTTGCAGAGAGGAAACAGACCATAGCATGGAAGGAGAAAGCAGAGAGAGATCAAGGGAGGAATGAGGGAGACAAACCCTTCCAGTGATCCAGCAGGATATTCCCACCATGCTTCACTCAGCTGTAAACCCATCAGTGGACTGATCCACTATCACACACCCTCGATCCAGTCACCTCCCCAAAGTCCCACCTATAAGTGCACTTGGTTTTAGGGGATGTCTAGATACAAACTATAACATCTAATTAGCTTCCACCATCTCCCAGAGGCTTCTCACTTTATTTTATAAACATGTTTCGATTTAAAACTTACCCACGGAAAAGTGCATACATTTTGATGATGTACTTCAATGAATTTACCCAAACTGAGCACATGTAAATTACCTAAAGCTGGGAAATTACCTGCATCCAGAGATAGAGGGATGCCTTAGAGGATATGGAATTACACCTGTGCCCAATACTTCAAATCTCCATGTTGACCAGCTCGCCTCAGAAGTGAAGATGAGAGCCACTTCTGCAGCTCATCGACACCTGGGGGTAGGCATGCCCTGGTTTCCACTCTGTAATAGGCAAGGGCTTACTGTTTAAAATGACTTTTCCTTAATTGTTACTGTGGTTGAATATTTTCCTTTGTATATTTGCCAATATTTCCAAGTGGAATACTTGCCAGTGTGAATTGTTTGGCTTTGGGGTTATTGTTTTGTTTTGACTCTTTCCCAAAAAGCTCAGCTCATCCTCTTGTCTGGACAGTTTCCTCCTGTTAGCTGCCCTTCAATATAGAGTAATGGCTCCCCATCCACAACACGCTGTCCCCTTCTTGGCACTGGGTGAATTACGTTAAAGTGTCCCCAGGAGACTTTTCAGCATCATCACTAACCCCGTTACTTCCACCTCAGGAGCTATGAACCATGCCTGGCCCATTCAGTTCCAGTGTCTTCAACAGAAATGATTGGGGTTTATGCTCAGCTGCTGGACAGGCAGCTCATTCCTGTTGCTTTCCTCCTGGCCTGCTGCCTTATTCCCACTAACTTCATACCTGGGTAGCATCTGGGACATGGAGCGAATCAGTCTGTGGTCCAGTAAATTGCCAGTGTCTAGGGATTTTGGAAGAGATGGGTTATCAGCTCCTCCCCATCACTTGCCATAGGATGTTAGACAAGCCATTTCATCTTCCAGAGTAAAAAGGGAACACAAAAGCACCTTCCCCACCTTCCTCACGGAGTTACTGTGGAAATTAAAGGAAGGATGTTTAAAAGTGCTTTGTGAGGCTGTCTGGGAAGCAGGAGCAACTGCTATCATCTTCACCCACCCCTCCATAGTGCGGAGGAGGAGCATTTTCCTTCCCTTGACTCTGCTCCTAGTGCTGGTTCTCCTAGGCAGGAGCTGAGGGGAATTTACTGAGAGATGTGCTCTCCTCGCCGACCCAAATCATCTCATGAGCCAGCTTGGCTACAGAAAAGCACAGACACCCCCCTGACCAGCCACTCTTCTGAGAACTGCCCATGCAGACCTGACTAGCACCACAGGTGTGAAACACTAGTGTGCTATTTGCCTGGGTCTCCTACAGTAAGATGTGCGTTACTAAGTAGGTGGCTGGGTGAGGATTACAAGTCAGAAAGCAACCTCAGCAGAAACAGATACATAATTACGATTGCCTCCAGAACTGCACACATGATTTGAATTAATGGACATGCTGCGAAGTCCAGATTCCTGCATTGTGAAGCTGGAGCTGAGATGCAGGTCCACTGGGTAAGTTGGGAACCACACTGCTGGGCGGGGAGGCTGGCCCAGGGAGCCCCAGAGCCAGCTGTGGGGAGCTCCCACTTGCTCCCAGGAAGTGAGTGGCCTGAGAGGGACTGTGGGTGATCAGGCCGTGCCGGCTACAGGATTAATTGTAACTGTGAGGAGAGCGCAGCACGTGGGTCCTCCCTGTTGTCAGGCAGAGCTCTTCAGAGAGGTGGGCTCAGGGCAGGCTCTGAGCCTCTCCTCAGCCCAGCTCAGACAGAAGCCCGGAAAGCTGAGGAGCTGCAGCTGCTGCCCAGCTCCCTGGCTGCCTGGGGACCCACCTAAGCCATGCCATCCCACCGCCCCCAGGACCACTCCTCCATTGTCGCCCAGACAGCACCATCACTGGATGCTTCCTCGCTGGATGCTGCCCTGGTAGCTTGCACGGATACAGTGACTTTCACCGAGGTGGTGGAGGGGGAGACCTGGGGCTCCTTCTACTCATCCTATAAGGTAAGCATCCTGCCCACATCTGATGGGACAGTCCTACTGTGAGGGACTGTCATTTCTTCCCCTTACTACAAAAGACTGTGGGGAGCCAACCTGATGAGCTTCAGCTGCAAGATTTGCATAGTGGCCAAAGACCTGTCTTGTAGTTTCTGTTGTATATGGATGTGATTTCTGCTCTGCTGCTGAGAACTTGTGGATAGTAACATTTATAAATGGTGTTTTATATTCTCTTCTACTTTTCATTTGGTAAGAGCAACTTTAGCCAATTTTATACTACAGCAATGCTTGAAATGTCTGTTTCTGGTGGAATTAGTAAGTTTGCTAAAAGTAGCCCTGTCTGATAAATGTCTGCTCAGCATCAGGGCAGAGGTGTGGAGTGTGTATAGTGACGCCCTTGGGGCAGTAGTGATGTCCTCAGGATGGTGCTTCAAGGCAGAGTCCCCTGTGTGTGCATCCTTCTCCATGAAATCCAGGAGAAACAGATTCTTTGACTGCAATAAATGGCACCACACAATGCAACAAGTTGTTGCCTGGGACAACGGAGAGTCTGAGTTGGATGAACCCCACCTGCAGAGTGTTCAGGGACCACCGGGAGTAAAGCCCATCCTTAAGCCAATACTGTTCCCTGTTTTGCAGAAGGATCTATGTATAGAAATAAGTCAGGTACCTAGAAACCCCATGGTACTGCTCCATGCAAGTTCCCAATAAGTCACGAGTCTCAATCTGTCCCTTTAGATCAAAAGGGAAAATATATATCCAGAAAAAAAATTCTAGCTGTTGCTTTGTGGTTATGTTTAATCCTTTGGGTAATCTTGAAAGGATTTGCTTTGTACACAAGAAGGCAGAGTTACTGCAACACACATCTCTCCACCACCGGAGGTAGGCTTGTTTGCAAAGGCTCAGACTGAAACTTTCAGCAGGGAGCTGTTTGAGGAGTCCCCAGCTTGCAGGTGCGCACAGGCAGAGGCCTTGTGGAAAAGCAGAGTCACTTAGGCTGGCTGCACAGGCGTCCTGCCCGCTAGGAGCATGGTTTCCTCAGTGACACTGCCTCTGTAGTCTTGATATTTTCAGAACATGACAGGAGACAGAAGACAGATGTACCCTTGTAAGAGGGATGGTAATTGGCAATGAATGTTGCTCCAAGACTGGGGCGAAGATCTCAGTTAGAAGGGTATTTGCAGGGTTTTTAGTTTAGTTTAGTTAATTTTGTTTCTTAATGCAGCGCCAGAGGGAATTTTGAGTTCAAGAACAGAATAACAGAATATTGGTTCCCCACTAGGATTGCGCTCTATCCAGGTAACATCACCCCAGCACTGCAGAGAACCATGTCCTTGTGCTTATGTTTGAGACAACAGGGAACCCACTGGAAGGAGAGGGAAACAGAGAGGAATCAAGCCTCATGGGAGCTTTGGGTGTTCTACCCACTTCCTAAAAGATGCACACAGTGACCAAAACAGGCACAGCAACCGGTGCTGCTGTTTGTGGGGACTTTGCTTAATTATGGAGTGGGAGAAGCACCGGGAATCAAACACAGGCCTTTGCACTAAGCTCTGACACCGTACTTTTTTTTATTTTTATTTTTTATTTTGAGACAGAGGCCCTTTAAGACACTGAGCTGCTCAGGCTGGGCTTGAAATTTCAGTCCTCCTGCCTCGGCCTCCCAGATTGCCTTGCTTAAATTTCTTGGTGGAACCTTGCTCTGTGGTCTCCTCAGAGCACCATGGACTTTGAAATAGTCACTGCAGAAGCAGGTCTGAGGCAAACCCTTGGCCACTGTGGCTCCTTTCCTTCAACACCCCTGAGAAACAGCATCAAATTGGACACTCTCTGCAGTCTATCAAATGTGTTCCTTTAATTCCAGCTCCATTTTTTGAAAGCCAGTCCAAACAGCACAACATGGGAATCGTCACAGTTACAATAGCAAAAACAAAAGCAGCCATGGAAGCCAAGTATCTCATTTGCTGGGGGCTGTCTTGATACTCATGGCTTTGCCATGTGATCTCTGTGAAGTTTCTTATTTAATTCTCTTGAGGCTCAGTGCATCTTTCCGCGGTAACTAACTTTACCCTCATCTGTGTTTACCTAGATTGTACCCATCCCATAAGGCTCAGCGTGGCTTCCATCCTCCATAGGGCCCTCCTGAACTCTTCCTTCCTTTCAGCTTCATCGGTGTCCTGGGCTCTAATTCTCCCACATGCCGAGACTCTGTCCCAGACAACTGCTTCAGCATGTGGTACTTGGGTGCGGGGGTGCATTGTGGTCTTTGTATTCCTTGAATGAAATGTACAGATGTTGTGTCCTCTCCAGGCCCAGTGCTATGCCAGCCACACCCAGTAAACAGTCCCTGCATAAGTAAAGCCTGGTGCTTTTTCTTGGCAAACTACACACGCTTGTTTCCTGTGTGAAGGAAGTGGGGGTCTCATTGTCCTGCCTGGTCTCCACCTGCTCCACTCTCAAGTCCTCTGCATAAGTGTGCTCCTCTTGTCTCCATCCATTTCAAAGCCAGTGGCACTGGGGTAAGTGACGGAGGCCAGCAGATTCAGTATGGAATTCACTATGGCCTTGAGGGCTGGTCCAGGGGATAGTACTGTGGAAAGCACCAAAGGCTGCCAGAGGAAGACAAAGATGAAACGGTACATGGAATCCTTTCTTGTTGCTGGTGAATTCACTAACTGTGTGTCTTTATGATGAAAGGCCTATTTAAAAGTAGCAGGGATGGAGATTTGTGTGAGTCAGTAAGTTACCTAAATTATAAAACAGTGCAAATGAGAGTGGGACCTTTTCCTCCTAGGAGGGCAGAGAAACGTGGGCGGAGACTGACATTACTGACCGCAGTCTTTCACCAGCCTTCTTTCAGGGTGGTGACAGATGGGGCACAATTAGCCTAACTGCTGTGTACACAGAGGCTGGACAATGTTCTTTCTGTGGTCCACCCTCTCTGCCATGCTGTCCTACTGTCTGTTTTCCAAGCACACCCTTCCTCTGTCAATAGAACAGAAGCTAATTTCAGCTCCCTCCTGCCCCAGTCATTTCATACTATGCTTGAACTGGAGCTCGGTTTCAGATGTTTTAGTAACTGCGTTTATTTGCACTCCATAGCAGCGGAGGTCTTGCTGGGCCCACCGTGTTAGCAGCCAGTTGCCCTCTATGGCTGCCTTTCCCTCTGTTTGCCATTTGCCCACGTCTCTGAGCCACCCCTTTGCCCATCACTCCTCACCAAGGCCGGCTGGTCCCTTTCCTCCCTTGTCCCCCTGGATAACGTTGGTGGTCACCTTTTCACAGTCCAGGTTCCTGACCTTCAAATGCAGTCCCTGCAGTTTGTAATGAGCCGTTTTGCATTTCCATCAGGCACTTCTTATCCTCTGCTAATTGGTTACGCTCAGTAAGCTTATTTGGTTTCTATAGTTGGGTGCCGCAGTTCTGAAGCGAATTTCTTCTGCTTTGCTTGGTCCTTCCTGCACACTTCTGCTCCACAGACCTTGCCCTCCACTTCCTCTCTGGTTAGTTTAGCTCTGCCATACAGAGGGTCCCACTTCAAGCCATGCCCTTCAGAAAGGCACAAATGCTACTGATTGGCTCCCCAAGGATGGTGCACAATTTCCAAGCTATTTGTGTGAGTGAGTGACAAAAGCAAGTTTCCACAAGTAAATTTCTCTTTGTACTACTAATACATGAGAGGGCCAGAAACATAATCTTGGTAAATTTGGAGTAAAACTAGTTATGGCAGTTGGCGGAAGGGGCACTGGGAAGACTTTACATCTTTGGCTTAGGGATGGCAGACCTGATTCTGTAGTGGATGCACTTCTGGGCGGTGGCAGTGGTAGGTAGGAGGGATTCTGTCCAGCAAGGGATCTAGCAGCTAAAACAAGAGTCTTGTCTGGCCCTCAGAGGTGGCCATCCTTCTTCTGAGTCCCTGTCTGCATCCCCAGCAGTCCCAGATCAGTCCCACACTGTTCTCTATGGCCTTTCGTCACCATTCAAAGTACAGGATGCTCTTTCTTTTTCCTTCAATCCTGGCTAGACTTAGCCTTCCTGGAGAAGGGTTCAACAGTTCCCCAACCAGCTCTGGGCTGTAGGAATCACAAAAGTGTTGTCTCTGGTCCTCTCTCTCCAGACATGACCTTCCTAACTATATAAGTACTTCACCAAAGCTGGAAAAACTCCTGGGTTTTCTATTCCATGGTCCTTATCTGGAAAACTGACTTTAGCATCTTCATCCTGTGCATCACAAAGTTTACAGATGCTTTTCCTTTCTCTCCCTTTTTGGAGGGAGAGAGGCAATCCAGAGCCTTCTCATCAGTGTCTAAGTTACCCCCATCCACCCTCACAGCTTTCACCATGACTGCACTGCCCAAGGCTCCCATCTCTCGCCACTGCCTTTCTAGGGCAGGGGAAATCCCTGTTCCATGCTCCTCCAAACTTACTGTTCCAGCCTGTCTGTTCTGAATGTTCAAAAGACATGTCATCTTGCAATGGGAGAAGCCACTTCCCTTTTAGCCACTTATGAGAATCCCCGAGGTATATTTGGAAGCCCAGGGCCAGCTTGTTTGTCTCTGTCTGCACTGATGGAGTAAGGATTGCACCCTGAGGGCAGGAGTGCAGAGCCTCAGGTTGCCTGGGTAAGAGAAAGTTTTATGAAGGCAGTGAAAAGTAGCACATCAATTATTGCCTCTAATATCACCCTGTCATCTTCAGATAATTTCCTCTTTCTATTGTGGGAAGAAGTGCTTCAAGCTATATACTTAAGTGGACGAGAAATGTCATGGTGTTGTTTTTTGGCTAAACATAGTTTCTGACTGAGCCTCTCAGCCCCTCTTAGTCATTGCCAGATAAATAAGAGTCTAGAATTTTCTCTACCATAAGGAAAAGGACTGTAAATAAGGAGATGACCTCTGGGTGGATCCATCCACCTGCTGGGGAAGACCCCCACCTACCTGTGTGACTTTGAGTGATTCACTGCCTCCCGTTTCTTGGTTTCTCCATTATTGTCCTCCTGTCTGTAAAGCTATAGAACACCAAGTGGCGTTTATAGTATTAGTGATCACACTCTCAGAAAATAGTCTTCTCATTCTTTTCTCAAGTCCACTCATGAAGGGAGACAGAAGAAACCTCGCTATCTGTGTGGAAGACACTTCAGGAGGTGCCGAAGGAGACCACATGGGCCAGGGCACCGGAGAACAGCCCTATACCACACACTTGGTCCCCAGACAAGGGAGATGGGGAGGAGGGATATCAGCTGTTCTGTTTCTCATTAGAGTACCACAGTTATTGCATAAGATGCATACTTCAAGAAGGTTTCTTTTCTTTATCTTCCTTATGTTATGCCAAACTTTTATCTGGGCAGGCTGAAAGACTCACTGCATGGAGGATTTTTGCAGAAATAGGAAATTCTGTCCTGTCCAAAGAAGGCTGAGCTTCCACTGTGGACAAAATATTTCCCAGACCTGCAGATAGTACAATTACTCAAGGTCATAATAAGATAGAAAGAATAATCAGGATTATTGCTTCCCACTTCCACACTATAGATGACTGTCTATAACTAATGGGTTTCCTAACCCTTCTTAGCACCTTATAGTTTACAAGGTGGTTTCACTTTAGCATATTTGAATCTCCCATCAGCTCTAAGGGCAGAGAATTAAATGACATTCATTTTTTTAAACCATGAAAATGAAGACTACAAGAGGTTAAAATTACGAAGATGTGAAATTCCTAAATTGTAAAATAAAATAAACAATAAAGATAAAATGAAATGAAAAGATGAGGCTCTCTACTAGTAAAATACTAAGCCGTGAACATTCGTAGTTTAATATACCAAGGTTTATTTGTCTATCATGGCATGTGAAAACAGGTCAGCTCATATCCGGGTCTTTAGGAGCAAGCAATGTTCCCCAGGGGAAGACTACACACCTCCTCTCATTGGCCGTAGGCTGAAATGACTCATGACTTTGACATGAAGCCACTGGCAAGTGTGAGTCTCTTGATGGACTTGCGAGCTGTGCCCAGAATGGGCAACATATTGTCCTGCTTCAGAGCTGTGTCTGACCTTCATCCTCTGCAGGATGAAAACACACCCATTCTTCTTCCTGCCCAGTGGCCTTCCGCATCTGACTCCAGCCCCTCGCCGGCTCTTCCTCTCCCTCCTGTGCCGACTCACATCAGATGTCTCACCGTTGCCCAGGGAAATGAATCTTTTGCTAGATGGGCCCTGCCTCACACCTTTGCTTTCTAACACTCTGGGACCCTCTGTGACAGCTTTCAAGAGACCCAGTATCCAGCACCATCTCTCTCTCCATGCTCCCCAAGCCCCTGGCATCCCTCTGTGTGCACACATAAATGGGGACCCGTGTTAGGGCCACCTGGGAACTGCTTCCCCCATTGTAGTGCCCAGTGGGTAACCACACTGATCCCGAAATGCTTTCTGAATGAAAGAACATCTGAAGAAATAACCTGTATAGCAAGTTTATTTTTAAGGTCTCAATAAGTTTATGGAAATGGAGCCTGGTGGATGATGTCTTAATCCTTCTTCACCAGGCATTCAGTTTGAATTTTCAGTGTCTTGATTTGAAAAGATTCCCAACACCCTGCTGGTCATGTTGACTACTGCTGACTTCAGGATGACAGTGGACACATCCAATCCTTTGTATTTGTCTTTCCACGCTGCCTGGGTCCACAGGGCAGGCCCTGTTACCATTCTGCACCCTCGTGGGTGTTGAGGTAGGTACAGTGTCTACAGTAGGCCTATTTGTAGATTGGCGCCTTCCAGCACTGCTTCCCAGATGTGTGCCCTGGGGCCTGAGTGTAAATCATGGTTCCTTTGAGCTTCTGAGGGAGTATAGTACAGAGGCCGCCTGTGGAGGGAGGGTCAGCCTGTCCCTGCAGCTCTCAGCCAGGCAGTCACGGAAGGGTGCTGCTAACTACTCCAGATACTCATGCAAGTGTTTGGGCCTGTAAGGCGTCCTCTGCTCTCTGGCTTGCATAACACTAGGGATCCAAAGAGGATGAATTATATCATAAAGGACTGGTAAACTGATGCAGTAATTAAATAAATGTTATTAAAAGATCACAGCCTAACAACTGTAGAAAAACAAAAATATTTCTCACTTTCATGCAATTCGTATTTTAAAATAAAAATATTTAAAGATAAGTCAAGGCATAGTGATCAGGATCAGAACACAATTTTTTAAGCCACTGCTTCTGGTTGTGATTAGTACCCCCTCACCCTGCTATGTTGAGAAAAACTGGGGGTGCAGACAGGGATGGAATACGTATGCTGCCCGTATGTGACTCTATCTACTGTGGAAACAGACATGTCAGACGCTTAGGGTATCAATATGAGAGCAAAAGACTGTCAATTAGAGAAATGAAGAAAAGTTGGGGCTCAGGGGAGGAAGGAATGAATGGAAAGGAAGGATTTCTTCACAGAAACCTAAATGGCCTACAAAGAAGACAAGTAGGTGGGTATTTAGGAGGATGAGCTACAGAGTTTAAAAAGAAAACAAGTGAACAATTGAACTAAATATTAAGAATGCTCTTCCTTGAAGAAAGAAGAAATATTTGACATTCTACTAGCAGAAAAATGTTAAGCATTCAAAATTATTATCTTAGAGAGATTCCTCAGGTCTAATCACAGGAACTCCCTTGGTAGGATCAAGTGCCTGTCTGGGGATCGTAGGAGGTTGGAGGAAGCAGAGGAAGAAATGAGGCAAAGATTCATATTGACAAACAGATTCTAAAGTTACATGGGGGAAAAAGGAAATTAAATGCCACAATAATTCTGCAAAAGAAGAAAGTGAGAGAAGTTATACTATCTGGTTAACAGACCTCAAGTTACATGATGTGATATTAAAGGGAGCATCCAGATTAATAAAAAAAGAGAGATTCTACAAATAGGCCTACTATAGTGATAGGTTCTTGACAAAGGTCAAAATTAATTCAATGGAGAAAAGGAGAAAATGTTGTTGGAACAGGTAGTCAGCTGTAAGAAGCGAAGCCACTTCCAGTCATAGCCCATACATGTCAGTTCCAAAGGGACTGTAAATCTAAGTATAAAGCCTAGTATGAAATATTAGAAAACATATAGCAAAACCCCTCTGTGACCTTGGGTTAGGTAAAGATTTCTTACACCCAGAGGAGAAAATTTTAATAAACTAATTAGATTCATTAAAATTAAGGATTACTTTTTTTTGAAAGATGCTATGAAAAGAATACAAAGATAAGTCTTGTACTATGGGAAAATATTTAGAAATCATGTATGTAAGAAAGGACTTGTAGCTGAAAATAGAGAAAATACTTAAAGTTCAGTAAAAAGAAAACAACTCCATTAAGAAGAAGTGCAAGGATTTGAACAGATCTACAAAGACAGGAGATTCACAGGTAGCAAACAAACACATGAAAAGACCCTTGATATTATTAGACATTAGAAAGATGAAAAAGAAACCACTGTGCAACACATTCCCTATTTAGCAGAATCACTCTCATTGAAATGCACCAACAGTGCCAAAGACTGGTAAGATGTGGAGTGACCAACATAGATGTAAATGCAAGGTGGTTAAGATATTATGGAAAATGTCTTGACATTTTCTTATAAAGTTGCACATGTATTTATCTAAAAATCCTATCTCTAGGTATTTGCCTGCCCAAGGAAAATGAAACATGTTGTCTGCACAAATGTCTTTTGTGCCAGTATATATATAATGACTTCATTTGAAATAGTTAAAAACTGGGAAGAAAAAGCAAGACATCTCTGGTCTGGGAAATGGATAGACAAACTGTGGGTCACTCATATGATGGGATACTGCTCAGCAATGAAAAACGAATAAGCTTGCATGCAGCATCACGATACATACATCATGAAAGATATGCACATCATGAAAGCCAAACACATGAAGTGGAGCCAACCTGAGCATGCTACTTATTAGAATGATTTCATTTACATGATATTCTTGTGATTCTGATTTTTTTTTTTTTGTACTGGGGATTGAACTCACAACCTCACGCTTGTAAGGCAGGAGCTTATGGCTGCTGAGCTAAATCCCAAGTCCCTACATGATATTATTAAAAAAGTAAAATTCTAACAACAGAAATCACAATGGCTGCTATAGGTTGGGGTGGGGATGTATGATAGTCACAAAAGACCACAAGGCATTCATCTTGAATGACAGAACTATTCTATGTTTTGAGTGTGGCAATGGTTACACATATCAAATCTGTGGAGTTGTGTATCAGAAAGGCTCATTTCCCTCTGTATAAATTATATGGTAATGAAATTTGTTGTAGGGAGAATTCTATCATAGTTTAATTATGAACACAGAAGTGTGTTCCAATGAAAGACATCTTTTCTAAGTGACAGCACTGTGGAAATAGAACTCTTTCCCTAGGCAAACCTGAAAGGAGACAGAGACTTAGAAGTGATGAGCACAGAACTGCAGATGATGAACCCCAAAATAGCAACCATTTGGTGCTCATGTCACCCAACTGTAGCTCATGTCACCTCCTCCAGGGCTTTCCCTGACCCCACCTGTCAGAAGCAGCCTCTCTGCCCTCAGCATCTTTTACCTCCATCTGGTTTACTTTTCTTGTGACATTTGCTCAATGTGATTCTGCCCATATTCTCCAACTCAGCTTCCAAGAAACTGCTACGAAGATAACCACATCCCAAGGTTCACTGTGTTCCCACCCAAGTGACCATGCCTGGTGCAGCCTTGCCCTGCAGTGGGAATGCATCCTCTGGTGCACCAGGCTCCATGCTGGGCGCGCAGCAACACAGCACACAGGGCACAGCTCTGAGACCCCTTCCCAGGACCCCCTTTACCCTGAGCCCTGTGGTGCTACATCCAGCACCATGGGTTGAGGATGCTGTCACCAGCATCTGCACTACATTGACAGCATTGGTGCAGGGAGGTGCTAGCTGAACCTGAAGAAGAAATAGACCAGGAGCAGGTTCTGTGACCGTGGTTAACCTTCTTTTCATTTCTCCAGACAAGTTTTCATAGTCCTAGCTTTCTTTGCAATTAAATGTAACAACGCTTCATAAACTTAACTATAAGTCTCTGAGGTTTCTGATAAAAGTGTTTCTTTTTCTGACACAGCTAGCCTTTTACCTTCCCCCTGATTTCTGCCTTGAACTCAATGGCCATGTGGAGCTGCAGCCTTCATTCTGTGACCTCAAGAGAAAAACCAAAGCCGTGCCAATGGATTGAGGTCTGCAGCAATCCACCTGCAGGTTTCTTTTCACACAAAGAAAATCAAAACTGTTTCAGCTACTGTTGCATGGACGTTCCTTTATTCTGAGTTGAATACCAAGTGCAGTAGAAATATTGACACTACTATAGCCAAGTCCCTAAGGATGAACCTGTTTTAGGGAGTGTAGAAACTTTCTCTGCCCCTTTGTTTTCCTGCTACTATCTAGATGACAAAGGCACTGAACAGATTCTCATAAATATATTGATTTGGCCTAGACTGCATGTTTCCTGAGGGATCTATAAAGGGAAATTCGCTCCTCAGTCCTAAAGAGAAGAGGCTCACGTTTTGCAGATGATTCTCCACATTGCGGATAATAACCGTGCATCTACTTAATCTCCTAAAAAGTACTAAGAGCACTTTAGAAAAATTACCTCCAAAAAACACCCAAAATATTAGCTCATTTTGTTATCATGATATAAAAATAGGATTCTTTCATTCCCTTCTCAAAAGCGTAAGTTAAAAACAACCTAGAAATAGAGATGTGGCCTTTGCAATCTGCCTGAGTTTTAGGGTTTTAGACCACATGCCTCTGAACATCCTAGGTGCTGTGCCCAGATCTCTGTAGAGTACAAATGGCAAGGTCCTGACACAGCCGGTTACTGGCAGGCAGGCAGAGTTTAGTGGAGCGGAAAGCGCAGGCCAGCAGGGAGGACTTCTGCTCTCCAGTCCAGTGTGGTCCTCTCCAAGCCTGGGATGGTAGGGGAGGGAGGTTTGACATTCTATAGCCCAAAGACCACGTCCCTGATCTCTCACTCATTGCTAAAAGGTAAATACTGTCCACTTCCTGGGACTTGTGTCCCTTTTTGCATTATATATATTTTTAAATTTTATTTAAAGAGAAAAAGAAAAAAAAAACAGAAAAAGGGTACAAGTAATACAAAATTTCAAAAAAAATAAGCAGTAAGAAATCACTGTTAATAGACTACATATTGTCATCTTAGAAATAGTTGTTTAAGTTACAAAATTAAAGCATACAAAGTGGGCATTCAAACAGTGAGACTGCAAACAGTTCTGTTCAATGATCCAACAAAAATTCAGTAATATGGTTATCTATCTTATACCCTTAAGTATACATGCAGTTATATCCTTTAGAGCACTTTCTTTGCACTCTATTTTTTAGGACAGAGAGTTAGTCTCATGGCAGGTGGAGGTAGTTCCAGAGGATCTTTAGCAAGCATAGCCTTTACCTAAGTCCCAGGATCCTAGTGCAGGCTGTCCAGCCTCTCAAGGTGTCCACAGCAGCCTCCTCTGACAGCCTCATCCCACCGGGGCAATTGGCTTGACTCTCCCATGCTCTGCATTAAAAATGAAAACAAATTTTTTTCTTTTCTCTCCCTAGTCCTCACCCCCTTTCATCTTGTAACTTTTTTCTCAGTGAACTGATTGCAAATACTAGCACAAAAACCATTCTGGGTACATTAACACCACCCCCATAGTGTTTCTCTCCGGAGCCCTCCCCTCAGCATTCCATGGCTCCTTGAATTTAAAACAATGTGTAACTCAGCCCCCATCACCTTGGCTCCAGGGCAGGCAACAGTGAAGAAGGCCACGTGGGTCCAGAGGGCCCGCAGAGTTTTCTGAAGCAACTAGGATTATCCTCCCGGGCGGGAGCCCTTATTCACCCAGAACTCTGAGCCACACAAGAGATCTCCCAACAGCACGGAGAATTCCATTCACATACACATATTGAGCCGAAGCATTTGCTCAAAGAACATTGTTAACGAGGCATAACTTAATAAAAAAAAAACTGAAAAGGGATATTGTACGTGCTCAAAAGCAGGCTTCCCTCCTTTCATTTGTTGCTGTAGACTGTAACCCTTGGCAACATGTGACAGTCCATGCAAACAGGAGATATTCTTTCAGCTGAGAATAGATTTGATTCTCATGCTAATGCATTTAGTCCCTTTTGAGGATTTCCTGCCTAGATTGGGCTAAAAAATACAAAGAGTACTCAAGAACACAGAAACCATTACCCACAGATAAAACTTAAAATGCTTTGTTGAATGCAGACTGCCAAGCACTCAGTCTTTTCCATTATTCGAATTATTCCTCCATTAATCCTATTAAGCTAAATCATGCTGAAGTAACAAATGGCTGGATATTCTCAGCAAGTTAAAGCTATCGCATTCCAGTGTTTATGTCTCATTCTGGTCACACACTCATCCCTGGTTAATAAGCGACCTCTGTTTACTGTCTTCCCTGGCAGGCCAGAGTTCCTCTCCACTCAGGCTTATAGAATACCAGAGTTGAGAGGATAAAAACTGAGGAGCACTGCCTGTCTTTTCAAGGTTTTTCCTGGAAATTATACTCAGCCGTTTCACTCACAGTTGCATAGCCACAGCATGTTTGTGGTCAAGTCTGGAGCCAAGGAAGCCGGGAAACACCACCCTCTGTCTGGGAAAGGCAGAGGATAGTGTGCTCTGTAACAATTCATTATGACTTCTAAAACTTTTGATTTACATAGAAAAAGGAGGCTCAGCAAAGACAGGTGCATAAAATATTTTATAGCTCTGTAAATCTGAACCCAGATCCAGTTCCGAAGCCCATGCTGGTCTCATCTATCAGAACCTCTCCATGAGACTCTAGTGATAGATGATGCTGAGCAGATGGGAAAGGACTGTGACTCCAAAAGTAGGAAACAGCAAACTTTATGTACTATTACATACACTGAACTACCAAATCTCAGAAATTTTACAGGAAAAAAAAACTCATTTAACCTGTAAATTGCAGTTCCCAAAGGTATTTGATCACAGGAGATCTCTCTGACAATGTCCCATGCACCTAGGTCCCTGGGAATTTATGTAGGAAATGACCTATGACATCTGCTGCCACCTCAGGAACCCACAGAATATATGAATAGGACTGTCTTCAAGCAGGGGAGGCCAGGGCTAGTGTGACTTGTGAACATGACACAGCCAGGAAGTGGCCAGTGGAATCAAGTGCCAAGTGTCATAGCCAGCCAAGCCAGAGTTCCCACCAGGTGCTGAGAATGTGTCAAAGTACTTCCTAAACTGGAAAGCACCATTCAAATGTAAGACAGCCCTGATTCCCAATGCTAAGTGTTAAATAAACTAGAATCTTTGCATGGGAAGACGGTGGTTTCCAGGATACAAAGATTAAATTCTGTAATGATACCAAATCCTTCCTAAGTTAGACTGTCTAAAACAATCGCAGTCAAAACCCCAATATGATTACTTTATGCTGACAAAGTAATCCAAGTGCATGTTTATAAAAACCGTGCAATCTTCCAGAAATTCCCAGCCCCATATCTCCCCAAGCCCATGGCCCTGTGCTCTGTGGTCTGTCCTGTGTTCCTGTGGTTAGGTGTGGGGTAAGAGAACTGAGGGACCCAGAAGTCCTGTGGAGAAGAGCTGAGAGCTGAACATAAATGATAACGGGGATGGGGAGGACCCTATTAGTTATTAGTAAATACAAATACATAGTAAGCAAGGCACTGTATACTACCAACAGATCAATAATAACTAGTGTGCCTCAAAAATACAACCATAGTCCATGCATGAACTTAACACCATTAAAAAATTAGTAAGAAGATAAATCGATATTCCATCAATAAAAGTAGTGGGTGATTGGATGGGTGAGTAGTAAATCATATCTCACATAAATTTGTAAGATAAATTTCAATTTAGGAAGTTTTTACAAAAAACAATGTACTTTACAAGCAAAGACTATCCAATCATAAACAAAATTTTAAAAAGAAACAAACAAATAAGATAACTTGCAATAAAGAATATAGTATCATGGTAATATATAATAATAATAATAATAATAATTATATGACATATGCAGCATGGTTGACTTTATTAATACATGAAGTATTCCTGGCTAAAAGATGTTTCTTAGAAAAAATGAGCAAAGGAAAAGAAAAAAATTATGATTGAATGTAGAGTTAAAAGAATATTAAAAAAATATATGCTTATTAGGGGTGTAACAATGCAAATTCAATAATCAAACTCACAGTGAAATGTCTGTGTAATGCACACCAGGGCACACCTGGAAGGGGATGGACTACCCGTGTCTCTGCTCATGACCTGTGTGAGCAGGGAAATTGTGTGGGATCTTTGAGTGATTAAGGTTACATACCTTAGAGTCAAGACAGAGTTCAGGAAATTAGTGGCAGTAATTCAATGAGCCACCTTTGGTTTTGCATTTTATTTCTTTCTCCTTTCTCTCACACTGGCAATTCCCCCACCCTTATCATTTTTTTGTACTCCAAATCCCCACTGTGTTATTGGTGGTGATTTCTCCATTAGACTTGTAAATTGTGAACTTCCTGTTCCTTAGCATAGATAGTCCCTCAAAAATACATTGTTCCATCCTTATGCTATCTCTTTTTACTATCATTGAGATTGGGTGGATTGCTCTGTGTGTCTAGACTTCACATTCATGGGGGAAGAGTAAGAAGATGGACTAGATAGAGATGGACATTAGGCTAGAGGACCAACCTGGTCCAGGACACTGGTCCCTGATGGAGTGTTCTGGCTTGTGTCTAGATGCCACCCCCCACCCCAAAGCCTGATGTGGTCATAGGAACAGCTTTATCAGAGATCACTGGATGTAGAGTGTGTGGTGCTGGGATTAAGGGTGTGTGATTACTAAATTAGTCCACTGATTATTTTGTCACCTGCCCTAAGATTTTTGCTTAGATAGAATCCAAAAAAGAAAGAGCTGTGGTTGGGACTTGTTGCTAGTTGCTTGCGTGCTTTTGCTGTCATCTGACTGCCATGAACTACAGCTCTTCTGTGATGGCCCTCTGTCATGTGCCACTCTGACTTGGAGCCAGCCAACTATGAACTGAAGCCTCTACAAACAGTGAACCTAATAAACTTTTTCTTCTTTAACTTTGGGTGCTGGGTTTTTGTCTTAGCAACTTAAGAAGGTAACTAAGACATGGAGTAACTAGGACCCCTCAAAACCCAAGAGACTTAGGTAAGCATTGTCATGGAGTGACTGATGAGAGATGGAAAGAGCATTATGTGAACCCCAGCAAGGAAAAGTGGTAGAGACCCAGGTAGAGAGGCCCAGAAATACAGAGGATGAGAGAACAAGTGGAAACAGAGGCAGACAGCTAGTTGAGTGCATTGGCCACACACTCCTCATTAACCTTTGAAAGTGTGCTCAACAGTTACTCAACTTGGCTGCACAGAAAATGGAGCCTCCACAATTGTAATTTAGGGCACTTTCACTGGAATCCGTCTGCAGAGCCTCTCTGTATCCCCCCCTTTCCTGTCCTCCTCACCCAGTATTTTCAGCTCACACCTCTGCTCTGCTCTTCTCCAGCTCAGCAAGCTCTGACTTCCATTAGCTCCTTGATTTTGAGTTTCATGCATGGACTGGAAATAAGAGTCTGAGGTGAGGTGGGATGGAGAGAAGGCTTCTCAGAGCTCCTTGGCTTGTTACCACTCCAGAACAGAGAGAAGATCCCTGCAGGCATTTTTTTTTTAAATCTTGTGGTTCATCAGGCAGAATACTGTCTTGGTATCTTTAACTGTATGCTAATTTCAGTCAACTTTTTATAGTGTTAGCTTCCACACCCATTTATACAACAAAGAACAAACATTTTTCTAAGAATGACAAAAACTGGTGTTTGTACTAGACATGAATATTTTTCTTGTCATTGTTGCTTGAACAAAATGATATAATAACCAGTTACACAGCACTTTCATTACATTTGGTACCATAACTGATTTAGAGCTGAGTTAAAGTAGATAGTAGAAAGTTACATGCAAACACTATACCATTTCATATGGGGGACTCCAGCACTTGTGAGTTTAGTATCTGGGGCCATTGCAGAATCAGTCTACTGCTGCTACAGAAGGAGTACTACTGCATTTTGACAGTTGAACAAAATTATAGCAATGTGAACTTAATTTATCCAAATGTTAGTTTTTTTTTTATATTTCAAGAGTCTAGAGATAAAATAGCAATTTAAATGTTAATCCCACTTCTTGGTACATAGCAGACACTTCATTTGTTTACTCAGCAAATATTAATTACTCCACAGACTTGAAGCCCAGCAGACTCCAGATGATTCCTAACATCTGTGGTCTATTTTATGATAGTAATTCAAAAATACTGAATTGTCTCAAAGCTGCCAATATAAAGTAGCTGCGTCTAATCTAGAAGTCCTTGTATGATCTAAGAATCACAAGAAAAACTGAGGCTAAAATGAATGTGGAACAATGCTCTTTGTGTTTCTGATGAAACTGAAGGTATCAGGAACTGGAGAGTTGACTCAGACAGCCACACAGGTGGAGGTCCATGCCCCAACTCTAACTGACTTGAGAACAACTGACCCATGGGAAATTAAGAGTTGCTGATAAAAACATGATCTGTGCCTCAGGACACTGATGATAAAACATTCCTGACCAGTTATTAGTCTTTTCTGGACAAAGCAGAAATGACTAATACAGTCAATGTGCAGGTCCCTGATGCTGAGCTGAAATATACCTGTGAAGAAGGAATCCAGCCCACTGAATCATTTCCCTTCTGGTCTCTGAGAGGAGGAGCAAATATTTCACCCCATCATCTGTGTCAGGACCGATGAGCTGCTTTTCCTGCTCACTGAGAACTGAAGCTTTGAACTTTTTCTCTGAGGATTCATTTCCTGTCCTGGATAATAACAGACATTTACATTACTTCCTACACTTGACATACTCATCTTCAACATCACAGAAATAACAGAATTCATAAAACAAACCATGAAAATGTGAGAGTATAGAAACATCTGATCCCCACAATGAATGAACTAGCCGCATACTTGGTGACATCTATCATTACGAAGCCATATATTGCTCCAGTGTCCAAAATCTGTAATCATCACTGACCTCATGCTCCATCCTGGAAGATACAGCTGTGTATGCAATCCAGGCCCAGAAAGCAAGCTTCAGACAAGTTTGTATCTGAGGGAAAATAAAGATTTATTTCCAATTTAAAAATTGAATATAAAGTTAATGGGATGACTTCATT